GGTGCCCTCCATCCTTCTTGTGGTTGTGGAGCTCATCGACGTCAGCGTATAAGTTCCCTCGCTGGAGCACTTTCGTGTATGACCTCGGCGAGTCAGTGATGAGGCTCCTCATGTACGGGGTGCTGCAGAGGGCACCCTGAAAAAGGACAAGGAGGGTGCGCTCATCGGCCCCTTCGACTTCGTCGGTCTCCCTCATCCATCGCTCGATGAAAGAGCGAAGTGATTCGTCGTGTTGCTGCTTGACAAAGAGGAGATGGGTGAAGTACTTCTTTGCGCGTTTCCTCTCAGCAAAGTGGGTGAGGAAGCGTTGGGTAAGATCTTGCCATGAGTCTATGCTTCCTTCGGGGAGCGCGTTGAACCATTCATACGTTGGTCCCTTGAGAGTGGAAAGGAACCAGAGGCAGAGGTACTCATCCGATGCGTTCACCATCAGCATGTTATTCTGATAGCGGCTGAAATGCTCCTGGGGGTCGGTGTGGTCGTCATAGGGCTTGATGGCGTTGCCTCGGCACTTCTCGGGAATAGGGGCCGAGAGTACCCTAGCAGTGAAGGGAGTCCTTGTACTGATTTGGACGATGGGGTCTCCTCGTCCTTCGGCCAACTCCCTCTCCAGGATGCTGACCTTGTGTAGGAGGGCGTTGAAACCGGGATCCCTGGATGAGTTGCCCGCGGGGGTGGCGGCAAGCTGTTTGGCCTCCATCTGAGCGAGCCTTCGCTTGAGCTGGGCGATAACCTCGTCTCGGGGGTCCTTGGCGGCCATGGTGGCGCCTTATGCCTGCATGCGGGCTACGTGAGCCGTGTTGATTTGGTGACGTGCGTCACCTTCGTGCAGCTTCCCTTTGCCTTTGTCCAGGCGGGGCCGATGCGCTGTCCGGGACACGGACCCAAAGCTTTCCCTTGGTGAGCCAGGCTCACGTTCACCAATCCGTCCTGCCATCCTCTCTGATGCTGGTCGACAGTGCGTGTCACCTAACCTATTAAAGGCTGAGGCTTTTCCACGCGCTGGGGTCGGTCCAGCTCGAAGAGGGGAAGCAGGGTGGGAGTGGGATGACGACGTGTCCTGGGCTTCAACCCATTTGACGTTTCCTATCTTCATGACTAACGGATGGGGCGGTGGAGGAGGTGGAGTAGTGTTCTCCCCCGTCCTATGATGGCCGATACAGCGGCCTGGAGCTGGGGGTCAACCGCGGGAGTAGTCTATTGCCCCAATGCATGGTCTCCCTTCTCCATGCGTTTCTTCTCAAGGCCGATACGGGCGTCTTGAGCGTTGCCGTTGAGCTGAATGCAGAGATCAGCTGCAGGGCGTCTTGAGCTGAATGCCGTTGAAGGTCACTTACTATACTCTTAGGCCACCCATGCAATTTGAATATGTTATCCAAGTTTGCCTGAGCCACTTCTATTGCAGTGAATGGATGTGCCAAAGCCACAAAATGAGCTGCTTTACTCAACCTGTCCACTACTACCAAGATTACCCCCTTCCCCCAGATTTTGGTAATCCTGTAATGAATTCTAAAGAAATGTCTACCCAAACTTCCTCTGGAATGGGTAAAGGTTGTAATAGCCTTGGGTAAGCCACATTCTCATTTTTTAGCATAGTAACCTCTCATCGCAGACTTTTTTTAATTTAAAGATATGAGTGGAAGTCCATCTCATATTCTCATACGGTGCATTATAAGTTACAACAAAGGAAAACAAAAATAGAAAGGCGTATGGACACGGCAGTTGCTTAAAGATTAATGAGAAAGCAGTTAAAAAAATCAAAACTCATGTGTAGCAGTGTGTAGCACAAAAGAGTCGGTCCTTCGACGTGTAGCCTAAAAAGAATTACTCCGTCCGTTTCTCAATTAAGTTACCATTTTCTTTTTTGGGCAGTCCCTAAATTAAGTTCATACTTCCTTACTTTTCTTATTTGGCAAATTATCTACATCAAAACAGTGTCAAACAGTGCAAAACAGTGCCAAACAGTGTTTGAACAGTGCAAAACGGTGCCAAACAGTGTCAAACAGTGTTTGAACATGCTGATGGAGAGCCACAAGAGGCAGGAGCGGGAGATTGATCGGCTGAGGGAAATTGAGCAGAAGGCTGCTTCGGCCGATGAGGCCTTAAGCATCCTGGATCGGCTACGGGGTGATGTGGAGGCCCTGAAAAAGAAAGCTGATGATGCTGATGCGGCCATTCGCCAGCTGATTGCAGATAAGGATGATGCCCTCAAAAAGTTGGCCGAGGAGAAGGAAGCGCGTGAGACTACTCGTTGTCGCGCTATTGAGGCCAAGAAGATCAGAGTTGAGGCCAAGCAGGCTGCTGAGGCTGCTGCAGAGAAAGCTGTCGACGCTGCCATTGAGAAGTTCTTGTCCGACGACTGGAAAGCTGAGGAGCGTCGGCCTTGGTGTTTTGAGGTCGTGGCAGCCAAGCTCGAAGATTGGGGCCAGCACAGTCCTGAAGGCCAAGAGTACTTCGAGAGGGAAATGAAGGTGTACTATGACATGGGCTAACAGTGGATGCAAAAGCTCATTTACCGGAGGCTGTGCCATAGTTTTAAGGCCATGAAGCTCACCCGGAAATGGGCCAGGTGTGACACCTCGAAAAAAATAAAAAAATAAAAAAATAAATAAATAAAATATTTTTTTTAGTTAGATAAAATGTTACGGAAACGACATTTTAATTATTAAGTGAGTCAAACAAAAAAAAATCAACAGTCGTGACATTCCAATCAGATAAAATTTCAAAATTTACGACGTTTTAGTCAGATAAAAAAAATATTTCATTAAATAAGTGACCAGACAAAAATTTAACATTTTGTGTCATGTTTAGTCTGATAAAAATGGTCCGATAATAGAAGTAACGTTTTATATCTAGTACCGGTAATACATATGGCATAAGTAAAAATCATATTCTAATTTTGTATAAAAAAATACCCAATATGTGTTTTAAATGTTAAAAAGTAAAATATCAAATAAATAGCTCATGTACATACACGTACTAATTAATAGAGACCAAGCATACATGATAAATCATGGCTCATAACACTTTGTAATAAAACTTCATATAACAACTAAACGTTCGACGAGCCTCAAGCAGCAAGATGTCTAGATACAGAAGTATACTAATACTAGAGGACCAGAACTGAAGAACTGCAATAAAAACTCCGGCCAAACTGATCCATCCAAACCGATCGGTTATACCTAACGAAGATAAGAACGAGTTCTACACAAACTCTAACACAGCCTGGACCCTCGACCTTCACCTATAAATAACACCCTTCGCCTGCGTTTATTCTGAATTTCATAGCACCAACAATGATATACATATACGTATATACGACGTATCTATATATATATATATATATATATATATATATATATATATATATATATATATATATATATATATATATATATATATACACACTAAGGCGAAATCCTACCCAACGTTATACTAACAACCGAGCCTTGAAATCACTCTAATAACCTCCCCCTTCGTGAGAGGAATCCAACGGTGAAAGAATCGTATAAAACGGTCATGAAACGAGGGAGAAAAGCTTCACCGGAGTTCGTCGGAGTGGCCGCCGGACTGGTTTTCCGTCAAAGAACGAAGCAACTTCTGATGCAACCACCAGCCTACTGCCGTCCTCCTCCGTCCACAGACACGCCGCCTTTCTCCTTCATCACTATAGGTTAGCCCGTCCCTCTGCATATTTTTCTTACCTCCGTGCCTATGTTCCGTCAAGGAAGATGAATGCATCTGCATTCAATCTTCTTCCACAAGTGCTGGGCCGTTTTTGCTTTGGGCCGATGGTAAGTGTGGATTGGGCCAACTATAGATAATAATAATAATAATAATAATAATAATAATAACAATAACAATAATAATAATAATAATAATAATAAAAGTAGAAAATTGGGTAAATAATTACAAATAGAATAAGTGACTAATTATATCATCTTAATTAAAAAGGTGAATATTTAAAGACCGGAATTGAAGAAGAGACTTAGGAGCATCGGGACTTAAGGTAAGTTTCACATCAACTGAAATTAGTTCTTTTTCTTCGTGATTTCTTTTAAATATTTTTGTGTGCATATTTGAGAATTTAATTTATGTGTGCTAAATTTGAATGAATATTATTATATGAAAGGGTTGTTTTGAGATATTAGTTGATATATTGTTTTGTTGATATGAGTTATTGTATACAATTTTGGGAGATTTTGTAATAGTACGTAATTTATTATCTTTGTGGGAGTTTGATGCAAAGGGAATTTTTGAAGTACAAACTTAGATTGATTTTGAGAAGACAAAGGAGAATAAATATTTTCATAAAAGGTGAGCATCACGGGAGAAATCTGTGGTGTTGGTTTTCCACGTCCCTTAAAATGTGGAGGGTGGTTAGGTCTACTACTCCTCAATTTTTGTTGGTTTTGGTTTGAGGTGAATTGACGGTCGGTAGAAAACATCCCGACTTTTGAGTAGTAATGGTAGTAGTAGCTCCTAATCATTCAGTTTTTGAGGTGGGGTAGTTGGTAGAAAACATCCCGGCTACCCGGATCGACTTACTAACCCGGAGGGCTTGGAATACCTTTAGGGGGTGTGCACACTTAAAGTAGTTGTTTCCGTTTCCAAGGAGCAGTTGTGGTACCGGCGATAGTTCTGGGGTGGCCGTACATAACAACGGATCACCGGGCTCAATCAGAGTGTTGAGCACTGCCCTTCTAAATTACTAGGAAGTTAGTTACAAAGTGATTTTTGGAGAAATTCAATAGAGGAGAAATTTTGGTGTTTCATGCATTTTGGAATTATTATGATTCACGAGTTATGTGATTGTGATTGTGTATATATATCGTTTGCTCATGATTTATAAATTGTTTTGATAATATTTTTATACTAATGGTTGTACGAATTTATATATATACTATTATTATTATTTTAAAAGGTTAGGTGAGACTTACTTAGCATTATTGCTAATGTTTGTTTCTTTTATTTTTCTTTCTGTACATGATTTTTGTTCAGGTGTTGAGTTGATCGATGTTGAAGTTGATTTCGAGAGAGAGCTTTCGCTAGAAAACATTATTAATAAATCATCGTAAATTTCTTTTTCAATAACTTTAATTAGTGATCTTTTGATTTTGAAGTTTAAGTTGTTTTAGCCTGTGCACTCGGTTAAGAGAGAACCGAGTGTGGCGGTAGCACCCCTATTTCCCTTTGAATTTTCCGCTGCACATTTTGTGATGTTTTCAAATAAAGTTAATAATACTTTCCAATAAATCATTATTTAAATATATTTTTGGGTGGGAAATTTTGGGGGTGTTACACCAGGACCCTGAAGCTTCCCCGAAGTATGAAGGACCCTGAGGAGGAGATAAAGCTTCCTCCCTCTGAGAGGCAGGCTCCTGTGCTGAGTTCTTCCGTCGGTGAGGAGGAGTGGAGCGACGACGACGTCTTGGCAAATACTGCTGCTTCCACATCCGGAGCTGGTGAAGATGTCGAAGTGGGGGAGGACAACCAAGCCGATGCTGAACAGGCTGCCAATGAGGCCGACAAGGAGAGTTGATCCGCTGTTTCTTTTATTTCCATTGCTTGATATGTAATGGCCGTTGTGCCCCCTTTTGTACTCTGAATATTTTGAATGCAAATATTAGGTTGGCTTCTCCATCTTTAGCGCCTGTTTCGTCTTTCTTGTTTTTGTATTGCTCTTGTTATTTTGTTCTCCGAAATATTTCTAAGTGTTAGTTGAGACCAGGTAGTTGTTTCCCTCTGTCGTGGCCGATGAAGGTCACTGGCCCTTGTTCGGCTAAGGGGAGTGTTTCCCATGAATCTTTCGAGTTCGTGTTGTCTTCCTTGTGACTCTCGTCGGCCAAATAAATTTCACTTTGGAATCTTTCAAAGTGCTCTGGGGTAGTTTGTGTGTATACTTCGTCCAATATCTATCTAGGACCACGCTTGGATAGGGGATCGTGTTTAATGATCTCGAGGGAGGTCTGGCTGGCGCGCATGGGCTTGCTTCGTCCATATTGCGTAATATTAACCTTGCATTTAATTGATACATACTTAGTCAAATTTTGTGGGGATTTTATTTTTATCGCTCGAGGCCGGCGAGTGCGCGGTCCTCGGCTGTCCCTCTTTTGATTTGTGGGGATTTCGCTCAAGGCCGGCGAGTGCACGGTCCTCGGTTGTCCCTCTTTTGATTTGTGGGGATTTCGATCGAGGCCGGTGAGTGCACGGTCCTCGACTGTCCCTCTTTTATTCTCTTCCTCTTTACTTCTTTGAGCGATGAGTGGGTATCCTTCGTTCAGGCTTCGGCCAAGGGGGTTGCTATTCTCTGGGCCGGTAAGGAGTCCTACTGGATCATCCTATGATCTCGGGGAGGTCCCGTCGTCTATTTACGACGCGGGTTAAGGCTTTTGGTCGGTTACCGACGGCTACCGTTTCCCAACCCCGAGTTTAGGATTTTTTGTCACCTCAGCTATGATTTCAGGCCTGTCATTATGCGATTTAGCACGAGAATGACGTGGTGAGCTTCCCATTTCAAGACGTGGGCCGTTTGTGGGCCCAACGTCCTGGGACATCGTCGGCCATGCCTGAGCGTCTAGCTCTAAGGGGTCAATACGATGTGTTTTGTCGGCCATACTTGAGCGTTTCGCTCTAAGGGGTCGATATAATGTGGTATTGTTTTCTTCAACTTTTCAAAATGTAAGAGGAACACAATTTTCATTGATAAGCGGCTCGAGGCCGAGGGTGGTAATAGATCAATAACCCGTTAAGAGGTGAGGGCTTTGCCTCCATCGGATTATTAATAGAACTTCACCAAGTGATGTACATTCCACGTTCGTGGTACACAAGACCCATTTGGGTGTCTAAGTTTGTAGGTGACAGGTTTCACCATGGCACTGACGATGTAAGGCCCTTCGTACTTCAAGGCTAGCTTGCCACCCTCCATCGGCTTGCTTGCCTCCCTCCGGTGGAGGACGTAATCCCCCACTTGGAACTCCCGGGAACGTACCTTGGCGTCATAGTATGATTTTACTTGATGCTGGTAGTTCTCTGCCCGGATGTAGGCTTTCTCTCGTCTTTCTTCGACCAGGTGGAGGTCGATCTTCATATTTTCTTCGTTAGCCTCGGGTTCATATTGCTCCACCCGTCGGCGGGGTATGGTGACCTCTGTGGGTGCCTTCGCCTCAAAGCCATAGTACAGGGCAAAGAGTGTTTCGCCCGTCGCCCTCCTCGGCGTGGTACGGTAGCATCATAGAATGTTGGGGAGCTCGTCGGCCCAGCTGCCTCCTGCGTCCTGGAGTTTCTTCTTCAGGCGCTGACAAGCACTTTGTCACGATGCGTCAAAATAAATTCAATACTAACACTTATACGTAGTGTAGCGTAGTAGAGTTCGTATCCACAGGGAAATGAAATAATTCTCTTTTTATGAAATTAATGAATAAATAGGGTTTTTTTGGTTTGAATGATTTAATTTAATTAAGAACTAAGATGAACAACCTATATGTGTTTAATTCAAAGATAAAAAGGACTTGGCATTGCTACTTTCCACTTGTTGGTATATTTTAGTCGATCATCGTCATACCTATAACTTATTCCCCATCGAATACTCAATCGGGGAGTATATCCACTTCATCGAGGGTAGTTATTAACAACGACCGTTCATTAATAACCCTTACTATTAATCAAATATAGAACAACGCCTTATATCGATTTAATAGTAGCATTTAATCTTTCTGACTCCTTGGTGAAATTAATTGAGATTGATAACCTCAACACAACGGTTTCGGTTTAACCAACAAAATTAATCCCTCTTAAGTTTATTAACCACGACCGTGCATTAATAAACTGAAGTTACTTACTTATGAAACCATCAACGATTAACCTTCGGTTCGTTGATCGTTTCTAGTAATAATTAATATATGAAACAAAACTAGTTGATCCTTTAAGTAATGTTCAAAATATTAATATGAAATATGAGTAGGAATTAATTAATATTCAAGGAAGAATATTATTAAAGAAGATGAATCCTACTATAATTAATATCAAGATGTTAACTAATTGTCATCTTAGCAACACTCCCCAACATTAATATAGGGGAAGAAAATACCATTCTAACTAATGTCGAGATGTTAACTAATTGTCATCTTAGTAACACTCCCCAACATTAATATAGAGATGGTATTAAGGAAAGAACTATTAATTAATATTCAAGGAAAGAAGTTAAGAAAATAACTCACAACTTTAATAATCAACAAGCTTCAAGAGCAACACCAAGAATGGAAGTTTAGCTCCTCATTTGGAGACTAAACATAGCTAGAAAAAATATAAAGAAATGCTATTCTAAACTGAGCTTAGGAGTATAGAAGAAGGGATGAATTTTAGAGAAGAAAAAGAGTGCTATTTATAGGTGTTTTTCAACACCTTTGCCCGGGTACCCGACCGGGTCAAGTACTCACCCGACCGGGTCCGGTCAAAATCAGATATTTCCCCCCGTTCTGGTGATCTTCGCACACCGGGTTGTCCCCGGTCACTTCTCACCCGACCGGGTGAGGTATGGGGCCCGACCGGGTCCAGCTCTTTCCTCAGTGGTTCGGTTTTCAAATCTTTTCTTCACTTCAAAATCCTCCTTTCCAACATCCTAATTCCTAATTCTACTTTACAACTTACAAATGAGAACTAAAATACAATTACAACTAAAATCACACAAATGTTTACAAACTAAATAAAACGTCAAACAATCACCATCAATGAAACATAAAAACATACAATTATGCACTACTAATTAGTGTGCATCAGGCCCTCCAGTATGGTTCTATTTGGCGTTCTCGACTTGCCCGTTACCTTGAGGGTAAGCAACATAGGAGAAGCGATGCTTAATTCCCCATTTCTGGAGGAGCTCTTGGAAGGGTGCGCCATCGAATTGGGTGCCGTTGTCGGATATGATCTCTTGGGGAACTCCGAAGCGGGTAAGGATGTTCTTGTGGACAAACTTCAGGCACCTGGCCCCTGTGATGCTGGCCAAGGGTTCCGCTTCGACCCACTTGGTGAAGTAGTCGACTGCGACAATGATGTAGCGGTTGTTGTCGGCGGCTCTAGGCAGGGGGCCGACCAGGTCAATCCCCCCTCTTGAGAATGGGATTGCAGTGCTGACTAGGGCGTAATTGACGGCTGTCCGACCAGGGGCCTTCTGAAGCACCTGGCATGCGGTACACTTCCTTGCGAGGTTAGCACAATCCCACGTCATCGTCGGCCAGAAATAGCCTTGGATGATGAGACGCCGGGACATGCTGAAAGGGCCCTGATGTGAGGAGCAGACACCACAGTGGACTTCTTCCATGGCTACTTCGGCCTCGTCCTGGTGCAGGCACCGGAGGAGAGTGCCATTGTAGGATCTCTTGTAGAGTTTCCCATTCTCAATGGTGTAACTTGAGGCCTTAAGTTTGGCTAGTTTGGCCCTCTCCTCATCCTGGGGTAGTTCTCTCGAAGTGATGAAGGTTATGATGTCGAATATCCAGTCCTCCGGGCGTTGTTGAATGCACATGATCGAGCTGGCATGGATACTGGACATGCTTAACTCCTCGACCTTGGCTATCTTGGAGATGTGCTCCGGAGTGTTCGTGCTGAGTTTAGAGAGAATGTCGGCCTCAACATTCTCCGCCCTTGGGATCTGTGTGATCTCATGGGTTTGAAATGCCTTGAGCAACTCCTCAGCCACCTGTTTGTACTGCTTCATCCTTCCTTCTTTGGCCTCGTATGAGCCCTCGATCCGGCCCACCACTAGCTTGGAGTCGCACTTGATTCTGACATGCTGCGCTTTGAGGTCGGCGGCGAGTCTGAGGCCGCTGAGGAGGGCCTCATACTCGGCTTCATTGTTGGACACCCTGAAGTTAAAGCGGATGGCATAGTAAGCTCTGAATCCTTCAGGGGAGATGAGGACGACGACGCCTCCACACGCTTTAGCGGCCGATGAACCATCAATGAAAAGGGTCCATGCTTCGTCTGGCTCTGCCCCGGACAAGGCGGCCGCCGTCTCCCTTGTCGTTCACTCAGTGACGAAGTCGGCCAAGGCATGCCCCTTGATAGATGGCCTTGGCTTGATTTCGATTTGGAACTGGCTAAGGAAGATTGCCCACTTCACCATCCTTGAGGAACTATTTGGGCTCTGCATAAGTGCGTCGAGGGGCTGCTGAGTCAAGACATGGACGGCATGGGCCTGGAAGTAGTACCCTAACTTCTTCACTGTGTGGACGATGGCCAACACCGTCTTCTTGGTGGGGGAGTACCAGAGCTCAGCCTCCCGGAGCGTCTTGCTGACGTAGAAAATAGCCTTTTTCACCCCTTCAACCTCGCGGATGAGCACGGAACTGTTGGCCGTCGCGCTTACCCCTAAGTATAAAAAGAGGGTCTCACCGGCTTTCGGCTTGGAAAACACTGGAGGGGATGAACGGTACTGCTTCAGCTCCTCAAATGCTTGCTAGCACTCTGCAGTCCATTTGAACCTGTTGGCTTTGCACATGATTTGGAAGAAAGGGAGAGATCTTTCGGTCGATTTGGAGAGGAA